TCTGCATTGTATGCTATCCTTTTTGATTTTATGTCTGCCTGTGAAACACTTTACTGTTCGTTTTGATATGTGTTGTATAAATTAGCTTTGTTCTTCAAAATCACAAACATATCCTTATAGCTCTACACTGTAAAATGTAATTGATGACCTTAACTCATTTCTGATTACTTAGCTCACGATACTAAAAGAAACTTGGTAAAATGAAGCATCGCGTTAGTTCATGCAGGACACAGAAGTCATACGTCCCCAGCTGTAACTGACAGCCAGCTGTTTGAATCATAGCTTCCAATCGGCCACGCACCAATCACAGCCCACTCTTACTTCAAGGAGGTTTATTTAAATAGGACTCCCTCCTCACTGATTCATTCTACACCAACGCTGTTACAGACCGCTCTGCTGGCGAAGCTTCGCCTCCTCCACCCCTTTTTTAGTTCAGAGTTCATCACATGGTTGAAATATTTACAAAATGTACTTCTGGCTCATTCCTGTAAACCCTTGGGGGTTGTGCTCGGTGCTCCTCGTCTTAGCTTGGTAGCTGCTGGCTAATCCGGGGAGCATTCAAAGAACAGAGCCATCATCGCCAAGTTTAACTGTATGTCCATTTGTTGCAATAAATGGTTAAAATCTATGACGAGAGTGTTCCTGACTGAAGACCACTTTCTGGTGAGTAAAGTTGTTAAACTCATTTTAATTTAAAAGAATGAGTGAGATGGAACCATCCGCAAAGCCCAGAGAAACACGAGACAGAACTCGGTATATCTAATATTAACTAAGGGGGAAAAAATTAAACAATAATATCAAAAACACATTCAGTCAAAAGGACTTATAACAAAAACAAATTAAATAAAACCCTCCCCATGAAGCAGGAGGAACACGGTGCAGTCCAATTGACAATCAGCACTGTTGAGTGGGGCAGATGCAGCCAATCCCCAGGAACTGGTAACTCAAAAAAAAAACTGAATCAACTGCATAGAAGATAATGAACTAAAGTTAATGAAAATGAATATAGCAATAGACAAAGTTAAGTACATGTGAGCACTCCAAATAGATAACTGCTGTCACAAATTGCAAATAAAATTGTATGTTTTATGAACCCAAAATCTGTCAATTTGAACATGTATGTATTTTAAGTGTTTCAGTGTAAAAAAGAAACCTAGATTAAGTTAGTGAAAGAGATGAAAAGAGTTACCACAATGTCTTAATGGTTCAGTATGTGGTTGCTAGATCGTCATAAGGAAGTATGCCAAAAATAAGTAACAGTACAATATGTCAGAAAATGTAAGAAAAGAAATCATGTTGTATAGTAATAGTACGTCACAAAAAGTTATACAATAGTCCGTCAAAATATGTCATTAAAAAGTGATATTAGAACAAAAGTTTTTAAAAAGTGCTATAGTATGTCTAAAAAAGTGAAAAAACAATCATAGTATGGACGAAAAAGTCATAGCATACAATGTTGTATATGGAAAAAAAACAGACCAAGTATAATATGTCAAAATATAAAAAGGTCATATAATAGTAAGTCGAAAAAAAAGCAGAAAAGCTATTATAGTATGTCAGTAAATGTAAAAGAAAGGCATTGCATAGGATGTTGAAAAAATCAAAGTATAGTATGTCTAAAAAAGTTTAAAAAAGTCATCGTATGTAAAGTAAATTTAAAAAAAGGCGTATTATAGTTTATCGAGAAAAAAGTGAAAAAAGTCATAGTATACTACGTCAAAACAAGTGAAAAAACTCGTCATAGTAAAGAAAAGGGTGAAAAATCATTGCATAGTATGCCGGAAAAAGTGAAAAAACAATATCGGTATCGTATGTCCACATGAATCATAGTATATTGTGTGAAAAAAATCAGTCATGGTATTTTGATATTTCATATCAAAAAAATGTCATAATATGGTATGTTCAAAAAGTGAAAAAAAACATGATATGGTATGTCGAAAAAAGGCATAATACAGTATGTTTATAAAAGGACAAAAAAGTCATGGCATAGTATATCGAAAAAATTGTATGGTATAGTATGTCAACATTTTTTAATAAAAGTCATGGTATGCCGAAAAGATTTTAAAAAAGTCATCACTCAATCAATCAAGAATCCTAAACATCACATTGGCACCAAAGGCCTACAATATAGATAGATAGAGAGGTAGAGAGATAGATAGAGAGATAGATAGAGAGGTAGAGAGATAGATAGAGAGGTAGAGATATAGATAGATAGACAGATAGACAGATAGATACTTTATTCATCCCCAGGGGAAAATTTGTATGTTACAGCAGCAAAGATACTTCAGCAAACGAAGTAATAGAGTAAAGATATTAAGTATGCACAATATATACAATAAAATATTAGAGTAGAACATATTGAATATAAGAAAAGAAAATAACAAAAATACACAATATATACAATGAAATAGAATAGTGTTAAATTAACTAACTAGGTAAAAAACAGTAGTGCAAAGATCAACCAACAGCAAACAACAGCTTAGCGGTGTGTAGTCATGTGATGGATGATCTGGCCAGAGGGGATTTGTTGTACAGTCTTATTGCAGAGGGCAGGAATGTTCTCCTGGATCTGTCCTTGTGATAGTGGAGCTGAATCAGTCTGTTGGAGAAAGTGCTCAGCTGTCCCTGCAGTAGGTGGTGGAGAGGGTGGTCGGGTTATCCAATATGGACAATAGTTTCTTCAGTGTCCTCTCCACCACCTCTTCCAGATTGTCTTGTTTGCAGCCAATGATGGAGCCGGCCTTCTTAACCAGTTTATTAAGTCTGTTGGTGTCTCCGGCTCCAATGCTGCTCCCCCAGCAGACTACGGTGAAGTACAGTGCACTGGCCACAACAGACTGGTAGAACATCTCCAACATCTTGCTGCACACGTTGAAGGATCGAAGTTTCCTCAAGAACAGTCGACTCATCACCTTCTTGTGCACAGCGTTGATGTTGGCCTTCCAGTTCAGTCTGCTGTCGATGGAGACACCCAGGAACTTGTACTCCTCCCCCATGTCCACATCCTCTCCGAGAACTCTCAGCGGTTGTGGAGCCGTCGTCTTCCTCCTGAAGTCGACCACCATCTCTCTGGTCTTGGCCACGTTCAGACGCAGGTGATTTCTACCGCCCCACTCCACAAAGTCATCCACTACTGTCCTGTACTCCTCCTCCCGTCCATCCCTTATACATCCGGCCTGATATGAATATCAGCATGAACACTATACATAAGTTAATAAAAGAAAAACTGTTTTTCTCTAATGCCATTTCTTTTCCTTTCTTATAGGGACAGACTCTAGAAGACATATTTGTCAAGCTCCAACCAATTCTGAACTGTATATTATAAACATTTATCTTGGTATGGCAGCTTTTCTTCACATAAAGCTTTTCTTCTTTATGTCGATGTGCATTTTAAACTATTTTCAAGATACTTTTTCTGTATTAAATGATGTATGTAATTTACAAAAAAGGCCCTTGAGTACACTGCAGCCACATTTCCTCCCGTTGGCCAACAGTTTGCTTGCATCGGAAGAGTCAAAGTCGCTGTATATCATTTACTATAGAAATCCCAGAAGTTTTCCGCGATGCGCGTATCGAGAGGCTTGTATTGTTTTCGACCAATGACGTCATTGAAGCCTCGCAGCCCGTCCGTAACACTTGACTGGTTCAGCAAGTGGTTCAGATTTTGCTGGGAGATTTTGTCAGTAATATAAACCCTGCCCTCTGCCCGGTTAAACCACTGCCACTTCCCAGTTTTAGAACACTAATATTGCCCCATAGCCACTATAATATACAAATATTGACCTAAGGCTTGGTTTACACAAAATTGATGCAGTACTCAAAAGAAAATTATTGTTTAATATACAGTTATGTTATATAATCACAATACATGAGATAATATATATAAGTGGATTACATTACCATTTCCAACAGCCATAACTGTAAACCTAAGAATATGCCTGTTTTACACTCTTTGGCCAATAGGTGGTTTTGTGAGCACATGAAGCCTTTTATGAACAATTTAGCTTGAAAGCATCAATGCTTCATGAAGCTTCATCTCGCCATCACTAAGTTAGCTAGTAGCTGAAACCTAGAGGGGGATTTTCCCATGATGCATTGGGTTGACTATGCCAACCTGCCGACAAATAGGTGTGTTGCTGATAAGGTTGCTGACTACGCTAGAGTGTGTAACGCAAACTGTGCTGATGATATATCGGACAGCACCAATCAGCAACCAATTTGTACATTACTCAGACATTCTTTTAGTTTGAACCGTGAAACCCAGTTTAGTAAAGTCACTAAGTTTGAAACTATTTACAGAGAACAGAAACTTAGTGATGGATTCACAAATAGCTGGTGCGAGCCAGTCATGGAAAGCTTTCCTTCATGTCGACTACAAGAAACAAACTTGTAACAACCTTTATCTTTTGAGTTTTTTTTCATTCCAAAATTCTCTGAAGAAAATGTAATTCTCTCCGGTTACATATACCCAGTCCTTTAGGCTGCAATCAGCAGGGCTGGCTGTATTGTGATTCATGGCTGTGTTTTTGTAATTTACAAAAAAAAAAAGGCCTCCGCCGCACCGCAGCCACATTTCCTCCTGTTGACTAACAGCTTGCTTGCATTGGAAGAGTCAAGGTCGGTGACAGGAGGCTATTACAGCAACCCAGCTCTCATCTCGGGGACAGAAATTATTCTCCAAAACATGTTTTATTCATAACGCCACTGCCTCAACCTTAAAACACAATGTATTTCCCTTCTTTTACATGTGGCTGCCAGCACAGACAACACAAATATGAAAAAACAAGTACTTTTGATCACTTGCTATGAAAGCAGCGTGTGTGAAGGAACGCTGGAGACAAGGGCCTGTACTGTATGTGTCTGCTTCCCTCTAGTGGTCATGGGACAGGGATCTACTGTAAATGCACAGCGGTTCATTAGTGAATAACATGGACCAAATGTCAGCAAGGCAACATCTGCAGAAAAAGAGTAGATGACACACAAAGAAAACTACAACAAAGAGAATTGTAATTTGTCTTTATTGTTTGAATTTCACCAAAACGTTTTCTGCATAACTACATCCAACAGCATTCATCGTTGTCGCCACTGTGACTTCATCAACGACAGCGTGACATCATCAGCGCCGCCACGATGTCACAGCATTGTGACGCGGCTCAAACGGCAGAGAAAGAACTATTGGCTGTCAGTCCATCCCAGAGTCCATCGTCAAAAAAAGCATCTCGCCGCTACCCGTGTAAAGCACAAACATTGCACATCAATTTATAGCATAGCATCAAGTCTCCCTTCTTAAAATCACTGCTTAAAAACCAAAAACCCACCTGCCCGCTCTCTTCAACATGGAGTCAAACGGAATGATTGAGTGGAAGTTTTTTTTTTTCTCGTTTCGACCACATGAGTTTGTACACCGAGTATGATTGTTGCTGCAGATCTCCAGTGATGAAGAGGATGATGATGATGATGATTAAAAACACTAATAGCACCATGTGCACTCATAATGGTCCAGCACCGTCATCTCATACCTTTGCTTTCTTTACTAGCCACGTCTAATATTCGTCATGTGCAGGCCTGGATTTAAAAATGGGCGGTCATTTTAAACACTTGGCTGAGCTGGAAAAGACGACTTTGTACCCGTGCTACTTCAGGTTAAATGGATGTAGATATTGAATGGAGGAATTTAAACTTCAAGTCAAATAGAGGCAGGGCCGTAGCCAGGATTGTAGAAATACCAAGGTCAACGGTACAAAGTCTCCTAATACGACCCTTTTCCCCTAAGACATTTTCTGGAAATGTTCCCTTAATGTATCAATTTAAATGCCTAAAAAGATTTCTGGAAGTTGTATCTCCCTACCTAGCTCTCGCAATGCTGTTTCAATGCTACATTTAAGAATTTATGAAAAATATCAACTTGTGCATAACTTTTGTCTTATTCTATTATGTAAACTCCGGTCCCGTTCCCTAACTTGATTCTGCGCACACGTCATGTGTGTGGTCACCGGTAGCTACGGCCCCGTCTAGGGATCCCAAAAAAAAGTACATAGATTGTAAATTAGCTTTAAAAAAGATCATTCAAAACCTTTCTGCTTTGATTATGCATTTACAGTTTCCGGCTTAGTTAAAAGCAATCCCAAAGTTTGCTCGTTTCTGCCAAGGTTTGGGCTCTTTATAAAAGTGCTCATTTCATGTTACTAGCTTCACTATTTCTATCCATAGTATATCTCTGTTCCTCGCCTCATCATTTCCTATCTGATATACTGCCATTTGGTTTCATTTGCCACTTTTAACATAACACTGTATATCTTGGTGAAGTTAACAAATGGCTATAATCTCCTCTGGTACATCTAAGTGATGAGGAGCCTTAAATACAGCGTGCTTGCACAATTCCAGTTCTCCTCAGAAAAAATGAGGGTGAATATAATTTAGACTGTGACATTCTTTGTACTAAAACAATTACATTATTTCAACTATTATGGCTATTTTAGCTTTGTTCAAGAATAAAGAAAACTGTAAATGCAGGGTAAGATCTGCCTTTTTACTGCATGTCACTCGAAACACTCCATCTGTTCCTTTATAGATTGGGAAAAAAAAGATGATCCAAATGAGGCGTGCATCCTTCAGAAGGTCCCCCCCCTACAAAACGCAGTGGAAACAAAAGGAAGGAAAAATGGCATCAGAAAAATGTCAAGCGCAGTATTATCCCTCCCACAGTACTTGCATAAATCTCTTCGTTAAATCATCTGCTATGTACAGTATTACACTTAATCGTTACATATGCAGCTCATCTGAGCCCGGCAAGTCTCTTGAACAGTACTAAACCATAGTCCAGTGACCAAATACGCATCCCTCTTCATCAAGACCAAAACAAACCAAAAGTCAAATCGTTATACAGTAGAACACAGTAGACACCTTTCAAGTAAAATAACTGCTTTTCTAAGAATACTGGTGTGTTCACATAATCTCAACAGACCTGAGTCAGACCAGAATTGGAATAGGTTCAAATCCAAGTCATCATGTAGTCAGTGATTTTTTTTTTTTAAATCTTTAACTTGAGGAGCAAAACAAACTCTGCAGCGGCTGCAAAGCTACAAAACACAGAACTGCACGTGATTGGATTTTAATTAGAGCAGTCGACCCAGGTCTGCCTAATGATCAGCAGACAAAAACGTCATCATCGGATGATCGACGGAACATAGTGACGTATTCCTGTTTTTTACTACTGAATCTGATGAAGGAAATAAGTAAACAAAGTCATTCTTTTTTTTAAAGTACAGAAATGTCATCATAACCACGGACAACTAAGCCGCCGATTTCTCTGTTTTGAAGAATGAACTATATATTTTTTTGCCTTGAATAAAGGTGAGTGAAAGAGAAACACTCATTACGTTTTTTTTTTTTGTACAGTAATCCATTGATAACAATCAATGCACAAAAGTAAAAGACAAACGCACATAAATGTCCAAAAACTGAAATTGAGACGGCTCAAGACAAGAGGTTTTTTTTTCCCCTTTTCCTTAAATCATTTTTTTTTCTCACTTAAGTTTAAAATACACATATTAACCAGCTGTAGAATGTTTACATACAGTAGGAATTTGGATTCATCGACAAAAAAATACACACAGTTTTAAGTCAGTACAGCTTTCCTGGCTTTATGGTGGAAATCAGAGACAAGTCCAGGATGGTCCAGTCCAGTTCCAGAGGACGAGCGGACTACTGCCCACGGCTGGGGCACTACCGTACTGATAATGCAGCGCTGTGTACCATTGTGTGCTGGGCAGATGGCAGTTACTGTATGATGATTGCTGGGGCGGAGAACTGCGTTGAAAGTTGGCCCTGTATGTCACAATGTACTGTACTCACCCTGTTCATCCACACTGCACACGTGTGTGGCATTACTCAGGGAAGCACGGTACAAGCTTCACGCAGCACAGCTCAGTTCAGTTCAGCAGTGTGAGGGGGCCTCTTTCTGTACAACGGTGGTCCCCACAGAGGAGGCAGTCTACTTAGAGATGGTGACTATTGGCTCCAGAGGGGCCAGTGAGGGCCAGTGAGTCGACGGGGCTCAGGAAGCAGAGCGAGAATGCAGAAAGAGAGAGAATTACGGCTGAACAAGCAGAGCTTTGGACAGGGAGGTGAAGGCGCTCATGGGGCAGAGGAGTTGTAGAGGATGAGAAACGCGTTGAGCCGGCCCAGTGGAGAGTAGGGGTCGGCTGGGGATACCGAGGGGGCGGTGATGATTAAATCAGACAGGAGGAAGGCCGGGCCGGGCTGAAGTGTAGGAGTGGTGATAAAGCTCCAGAGTTTGTGGTGAGAGGGAGGTCCTCTGCCAATCCAAAGAGACACCTGAAGAAAAAACACATTGAGCACATAAACCAACCTGCTCCTCCATTACAGATTTAGGTTACATTTCTTTACTATGCAGCTACTATTTGTGTGTCCGTTCAGTACAACGTCCTGGACCACCACGATTTAAAATGGTGAAATCTGCTTAGAATTCCACTTTGGTAAACATTGACACACAAATACCTGCTGTTGACCAACAGCAAGCCATCTTGACAGTGCTGACCTTTGAGGGGGATGAGTCCAAAACTATTAGCTGTGTTGGGGGACTACCCATTGTTTTGATAACCCATTATTCCAAATAATGAGTGAGTTAGTTAGTGTAAGTGTATCCAGATAAGCCAACCAGAGGCAGAGAAAGGGGTCATGCCTCCGCCACGGTGGTAAAAAGATATATTTTGGGAAGGCCCAATGTCGTCAGATGTGCTTCTTCTGTTTGTTGCAGAGAGACTGTATATTATCGGAGCAATGGGTCTTTAGAACAATGGCCGTTTGTTTTCAGGATAACGGGCCTTCGGACAAATGGGACTTTTTCCGGACTATTGGGGTTACGAAATAGCCTGTGTTGCACCATCCACTTCTCCTTTCCCTCTTCTGGAATATAAACTGCCGCACCAAAGCAATGGTTTGCAGACTATTTTTTTCTTCATTATGTTTTCATTGCACAAAATAGTGTGCAATGGTGAACAAAATGTACACAGAACAGTAGAAATAAAATGGAGAGATATTTATTATGAGTGCTCTTTAGTCTGAATCTAGACTGCTAACTGTATTACTCCTTTCAACCTTGACAAAGGCAGAATATACCATATGTTGTAAAATAAAAGCCCGAGATATATATTATTTGCAGGCGAGTATTTAGCATTTCCGTGACATTTATCCAGTGTGTAATGGCTTTAATCTGGTCATTTGTTTCAATTAATTACGATGGACTCTTTATTGTTGCATGCTGATATACTGTATGTCGATAAAGGCAGGTATATCTAACACCTTAACATATGATATCTAATACTATATATATATATATATACATACAGCATATACATTTTCCACTCACTATACAAACATGACAACATAAGATAGCAGTGCTAAGATTATATGACCCACCAAGCTATCAGTTCCCACTCAGTGTCACAGGCAGATGACTTCAGCAGATGGTTTCAAGATGACGCGAGTTCTGAGGGGAGAAGAGAGGAAGTGCTTCACACACCGGAGAAAAAGAAATACTGGCACAGGTAAAGTGTTTGCAGCTTGTCGTGTGTTAAAAGACATCATAACGGTGCTGCGTGTGTCTCACCGGTGTGTCGTTCCACTGCCGCGGCAGGTCTTCTGGCTCGGGTGGGTAGGACATCCAGGACGGGCTATGGTACGAGGACGGCGGTGACATGACAAAGTAGTCTGAGTAACCCGGGTGGTTGGCAGATATAGCGTAGACTGCTGTTATTGGGTTTCCTGTGAGATGTAAAGGTGGATTTAGCCAATGACTCAACTTCACTTCATCATAGCTACTGTCTGCATTTCAACGCCGGCACTCATACCTGAGTAGGTGGTGATGGACTGGTCGACGGTGACAGCGGGGAAGGGCGTCCTGGACAGCGGCATATAGGGGGCACCGTTGTGCTGCTGGGCCTGCAGGTCTAAGGACTCTGACACACGGGGCTTCAGACTAACATCGGGGGTGGAACTGTCAGTGGAAAAGAGAGACAGAGGTTCACCTGATATAAAGTTATCACACAACTGTCAAACAAATTTACACCAGTTGCTGAATACAGCAGCACAAAGCTAAATCTCCACGTATTCCTCAAATTTCAAGTGAGGAGAAAATCTTTGTTTACTCCTTCGTTTCTCTGCAATGAGGTGGAACACACATGTTAGAATGTCTAAAAGATGTAGGGGGGGTTGCAGTTTAGGTTGAAGCAAAGTTGAGGGACAATTGCGGTTGAAGCACTGAAAGGGATTTAAGTGTGTGAGGGTAATCTCTAAAACAGTGATTCTCAACTGGTGGGTCGCGACCCAAAAGTGGGTCGCGGACCCGTTTTCAGTGGGTCGCAGACCCGTTTTCAGTGGGTCGCGGGCCTTTGCCTGACAAAAAAAATAAAAAATGTGATTTTATTTTGAAGGGCATTTTTTATGCAGCAGAATTATTCCAGCATTTACGGCACTTGTTCAGCGGTGCAGGAAAAACACAGACCAATGCGTTGTGAATCACATCACGTGATGCAGCTCAGCCAATCAAATATGGGTATTCTGACAAGTTGACACTAGACTTCCTGACAAATATAAAAATTATATATATATAGATATATATATATAATTTGGGTCGTGGGTCGCAGCTTGTCATTAAGGGGTGATGGTGGGTCCCACAGCCAGACCAGTTGAGAACCACCGCTCTAAAAGCATTTGACATTTTTGCTTCAAGTTTAAGCCCTGAAGCAGTTCAGTTGACAGACTGAAGTCAAGTCAAATCTATTTCTACAGGACATTTAAAACAACATGAGCTGACCAAAGTGATACAAACATAGGAAGAATACAGCAGGTCAACAGAACAGACATCTCCTCGAAGCAGGTGACTCGTTACCGGAAGAGTAAGAGATAAAAGCAGTTTGAAGGTCATTTAAAACCTCTATAGCCCTAGCCCTATTTTTAGGCCTCTACTCGAAAATTGCATACCCATACTTAAAGACTGTAGATCTGAAACTACAAGGTCTATTTTAATAATTTTGATGGTATAATACAGGTAAAACTTGTGAGAGACTTGTTCAGATGTGTAAAGATGTGTATCTGTTGCTGGTTAATAGTGAATGAAGATGGCACACAGCTCAAATTGAAAAGTTTCAAAAGCACTTTTATTGAACATTTTTTTTGAAATAATGCAGATTGAAGCCTAAAAATACTCCACAGTCATAGCACAACAGGTTTGTGGTCTCTCCAAGCTAATTTTACTTAGATTGAGTGAAGCAGGCCAGCATAAATGAGGTCTGAGTACAGAGTTTCAAGCCGAATTCTCATTTGTGGAACCAGATTTTGCGCTGCTCTATTCTAATTTTATATACTATATAACTACATATTAACTATATATTCACTTGCTTTATCACTAAGAGTGTTCAATACATCATAATAAAGCAGTTTGGCATAATTTTCCGCCATGTTCAGCTATTTTCAGCTGTCATAACTCTCATCCATGAATAAATCTCCTCTCAGTCTGTGTCTCTTTAAGCCTTTGGTAAGGCCTGTGATTGGCGGATTTCATCATGTGACACCTTGTTAGCTGCGGAATAGTCCATTGAAAGCCGTCAGGGGGGTTATTTAGAAAACTGAGAGCCACCAGTCAGTAAAAATCTTGATACGCTGGGCTCAACCCCCATGCGTAAAATAGATTGGTCATTTTTTTAATTCGGTATTTAATATGTCTGGAGCATTTTTGATATTTCTTGATGAAAAGTCCATTCAGAACCTCGGTACCGGTACTCGAACCCCAAATGGGGCTCGCTCGGGCTATAGAGGTTTAAAGAGTAAGCACTGAAAGAAGCTGAGCTCAACAGTGTCTGACACGTTTTGAAGCGCTCCAGTTCCAAAATTTCCCATTTATTCACTTCATTGACGTTTTAGAAAATCCTTACATAAAGAGTTTTAAACATGGAACCAAGCAAACAAACTACGAGATTAAATTGAGATGATAAAACATTTGATCCGGAGCAATGGAAAAAGAATTCCAAAAATGGAAAACAAGTCAAGGAAACTAGACTGTGTACATAATTATTTTAAGAGTGAATGAACTTCTCATCCAATAAACTATTGCGAATACCGACAAGCCGACTCTAGAAACTCCCCAAAAACTTTAAAACCAACTGTTGTTAATTTAAAACGAAGACCGATTCAAACGGGTTCGGTTTGAAATCCAGGAGCAGGCCATGGACCAGCAAGTAGCATCACTAGCCGTTCGCGGGTGCGGTACACATTGCCATAGTGACAGCAAGCTCCATCAATAAGATTACACTGTAGGATTGTGGGTAACGTGCAAATAAAACGTGTTTTTCTGAAAACAAGCTTCATATCATACAGAGTATATATACCATCGCTTCACAATCGAATAGCTTGTGATACGTCTACCTTGGATGATAACAACATTATGGTTACTCATCAAAAACTTCAATTAATCTGCTGCCATGAAAAACATCTTTATCAATGAAACTACACAGTGGTGTGACATTGCATTCCTTCAATTAAATGACACTCTGAAACATGAGTATTGATTTTAGGCAACAGTCCTCAACCCTTCAGCGTACTATTATCAAGGGACAGCTGGTAGACTCTGTAGACAACTTCGAGTACCTTGAGATTTTTATTGGAAAACGAGCTGAATCTTAATTGTAACAATATACTGGGCTATCATCCAGTCTACTCGGCTATCATCCAGTCTGTTCTCTGTTCTTCCATCTCTCTGTGGTTTGGATCGACCACCAAACAGGACAGAAACAAACTACAACGGATTGTCAGGTCTGCAGAGAGAGTCATTGGTGCCAGCCTGCCCTATATCCTGGACTTGTTCACCTCCAGAGTCAGGAAACGGGCAGGAAAGATCACTGCAGACCCTTCACACCCTGGACACAACCTGTTCCAACTCCTCCCCTCTGGTAGGCGCTACAGAGCTCTGTACACCAAAACCACCAGACACAGGAACAGCTTCTTTCCACTGGCCGTCACTCTGATGAACAATTAATCAGTCAAACTGCACTACTACCTCTGTTTGCACTATTACCTTAATTCCATGGACACTGTTTTTGTATAGGGTTATGTTATTATATATATATATACACTTTTTGACTCATGACCTCAACATCTGAAAAAATAGTGAACAGGTTTTTATCATCATCCTCTTGTGCCTCTTCTACCTCCTAGAACCTCGGCACCTGTACATGCAACGCTACAGTAGGAAACCGGAGGACAGATGATGTCGTTGCCAGGGCTCTCAGGACCATAATGCACCATGCATACTAAGGAGGAATTAAAATGCTGCGTTCCTCCTCCCGGAGGGCACAGAGGAACTAATGTATGACGAGCTGACTTATTAAGTACTTACACAGTTCTGTTTCTGGTTTTAAAGCAAGTGTAACGGTCGCACACACACACATAGTTAGAGAAATGTAAAACCAACAGAGAGATGTCTCTGTCACGCAAAATACAAACAACTTAATTTTGTCCTACATATCAAAATGTGTGCATTTCCCTGCCGAGTGTGTGTTCGTTCCTGTGAGTCTGTAGTCAATCGCAGCTGTAACATGTTTACTCGTAAGCGTTGTCGTCTCAGTTTCTCCACTAGATGGCAAACATGTCCCTTTGTGCAATCCACCACAGCTGAGCAGTCGATGACTCTCTGCCAGCACTAAAGTGCCCAGCAACACGGTGCACACAGCAACAGCATTTAAATGAAGAAGCTGCTCAGTTCAAATGATGCATGCCAACATATGGCGGAGAGAGAGAGAAGCGAGCGGCACAGAGAGAGAGAGTGGATGTGGGGGGCAGGCGGTTCAAATGATGTTGATTAATGTTCTGTAGCTATTTTTCAATCTGCATTCTCCTGTGGTCCCTACCAATAAATGATACATCCATCTGATACAGTGATTAGCTCCAGCGCTGCATTTTGATAGGCTGGGAATTCATTATTAAGGACTGCTTTCAAATGCCATGTGTGAATGTTTCTTTTGACACAGTGGACGCTTCGTTAATTGGTAGAGCATTTACTTCTATGGCATTAGTCCATATCTTGTCCTTTACCGAAGACGCAGTGTTTTTATTTGTTTAAAAGTTTTTCTTTTTTTGTGATTTTGAATAGATAGTGTCTGTAGTCGTGTGGGTGAGTGTGGTACCGTCGCAAAGAGGTCCCGGGTGGCGGTCCTGGTCTTGAGGGGATCAGCGGCGGGGGAGACCCGATGCCCATATCAGGAAGCTGGGTGAACCGGAAACCCTGCAGGAGCCAGACATGGAACTTAGACACATTCAGAAACTGTCATGTGGACTCTACGGAGCGTAAAATGCAAAGAAGAAAAGTGGAAGGAGCAACAAACAAATCCTGACAAACAAAGATGGCTGGAAAATCAGATGGGTGTCTGATCAGAGCAAAACCAAATATAAATACAGATTCAAGCTGCGTGAGGCTTGTTGTCTGTTGGTGGGTGTTTAGTCCTCAGTCTCTTTAATCTCCGTAAAGCTTCTCCCTTGCCGATCAGCAGTTGGCAATTCACACACTGAGACCACTTCCGCTGGCTTTTCTGGCTTTTTTTTGTTGTTGTACCAGGACTATTAGCCAACATCAGCATTATGCTTTGGTCACCGAGTGACATTTTGACATAACATAAAAGCTAGAATTCAGATTTTCAGAGGTGTAAAGTTATGAAGTACATTAACTCAAGTAACAAACCTTTAAGTACTTTTATTTTATTTGAGTATTCTCATTTTGTGCAACATTGTACTTCTGCACCTACTACTGTACCGTATCCCAATAACAGCAACCTTGTGGCTACAAAGATTTACCTTACATATATAGACTTTACAAGCAAAGCCTATGGTATGATCAAAAAACACCACACATTTTTAAGAAGCAAGTAGAAGAGAAGATAAGCCTGACATGGACCTGCTAATTGATTAATAAAAAATGTAACATTCTAAACTCATATTGAGTTCTTTTTGATTCATATTTTTTTTTACTTCTAAGCGGCTATAAAATGTTCTTTATATAAGCAGTGGATTAAATAACTATGTGTAATCTAACAGGTGTCGTTGAGAGGTGAACACACAGTAAATCATTAGCCAACTCTGCAGTTGGCTCCGGCTGTACGGAGGGTTTTAGTTTCTTATAGCTAATAGTTTTGGGGGTTTTTCGGCCACAGACTACTGTTTTGATTCTCTCTAACAACTCTCAGCTCTTGTTTTCCAACTGCACACTACCTATCCAGCACCAAACGTCAGACAGAGTTAGCGACTAGCTGGGGAACAGCATTTTGCTGCTAAAGAGCCTGAGATTTTTCTCAAGAATTGGTGGAGACCAAAACAGAGCTAAAAAGGAGAGTGAATGTTGGACCAAACACGACTCCAAATGAACGCTAATCTTGTTCTGTTTGAAATGGATTCGTTGGAAGCCACTTAAGCCACACAGACTGTATACAGTCTATAATTTCTCATAACTTTATAAGGTGATAATATGTCCATTACTTTTATTTTTTACAGCTTGATGGCTTTCTTAAAGTGGGCTAAAAGTCACGTAGTTGTTAGTTAATAGTTAATAGTATGAAAATATTTTCATGTTGTTGGAATTAATACTTAATGGTGCTTTTGCCACTTTAACTTAAGTAAAGGATTTAAACACTTTTTTCCACCTCTTCTGATTTCACATATTAAATCTACTTTAATCATGAAAGAGTGGTTTTATCCTATTTGAGACAAAAGAGTACATTTTCACTTATATTCTCATCTTGTCTATCAAGTAAAATGCATACTTGTCACAAGTGTATATTTTGCCTCTTTTGTGCTTTTAATAAATCTTTATTACCCATCATATCACAAAGTATTTCAACCTATCCTATTCGACAACGCTGTACTGAAGACATAGTAAAAACAGCTTTTTGAAAACAAAGTCTATCATATTTCAGTCGAAAAGCTGTGAGCACCACCTAAGGAATTCCATTTACCTCCATTGTATTTTGGTGGAGGCAGTTATGTGGGAAACAGATATGCATGCCTAGATACCACTAGAGAGGTAAGTGAAGGAATCTGCCCTTTAAACTTCCTGTTAGTGCTCACCGGTTTGGGCAGGCTACACTGGTGCATGTCCTCGTATCCTGCACTCCTCTGCCTGCCTCCACAGGGATGGTTCATGGTCCCTGGGGCGCTGGTCACCCCGTCACTGTAGTGGCTGGTGTGGGACGGGTTGTAGGCTCTGTGGGCATGGTGGTGATGACGGTGGTGGCTGTTGGCGAAGATAAAAAAAAAAGTTTCAGTCGACAGTCTTCAGTTTTCCTGTTTTTCTGCTTTGTGAAAAACAGCCTTAGCTTGGGATCATTCTTAAACAGCTCTCTCTATTCTTTCCCACACAATACTGTAAATGAATGCGGATTGCAAAGAAATAAAATAATCAGTGAAAAAAAAAAAAAGAAACTTACTTGGTCGGCGGAGAAGGGGGGTCGTGGTCCGGAGGCGCCAGACTGAAGGCGTTGCCTAGCAACATGTGCATCTGCGTGCGGACCTCATCAATGGATGGCTGGGAGCTGAGTGTGGAGGAGTCGGAGCCACGGTGAGCTTTCACCCCCAGGCTGCCAGTCCCGGTGTCAGTGGACCCGCCTCCATAACCCAGGGAGCTCATCAGACGGTCCATGTTGGTCTCCACAAACGGTTCTGGCTCGCCCTGCGAAGCACAGCGGGACAAGGGGGGCGGGGATGCATTCATCGATGAGGACAATGACACCGAAATCACACACCTTTCCATCAACTCAAAGTTTGCACCTGTTTGAACTTCTGGTTTCCTGAGAAACAAATGCTCCTGAGACTATACGAAGGATGTTGGTGTTGATGCAGAAGCTGAAAACAGGCAGCACTGAAAACAAATTGTGAGTCAAGATGGTCAGGAGCAGAAGGTCTGCAGCTTCCCAGTAAGTTTGAAGTAACGGAGTCTAAAACAAAAGTTTTCAGGTGTTTCTCTCTCATCATCAGGTAGAATAATCAAACCTACACCCACTCAGCAGGTTCTCCTGCAACATGACTACATCAGTTACAATAACATGTACTATTCACTCAGTTTCCAGTTTATTAGGTGTTGATTCCACTGTATGATCATCCTGGTGGATGTAGTTTGTGGCGCTGTTGAACTGTATTGTGTTATTCTGACAGTGTTTCTGTTTTTTTAGCCTACCCTCACTGATACAAACAAGGTGAACAAGATAATGTGAACACCTGTGGGTGCAAAGCAATACAGTTTCAACATTTTAACCTTCATGAATGATTGTTTTTTGCAGAAGAGTTGGATTAGACTGCATTAGATTGGTATACCTAATAAACTGCCAACAGAGCGTATTTTCATATATTCTTTTAGATTTATTCAGTGATGATTCACTGGATTGTTTTGTCTTTTTTTGCGTGATATGCCTCTTTATTATGTAAAACTGGATTGAATTCAAGTTGATATTGGGTAATACAGTATAGCCGGATTGAGGATCACAATATTAAAGGCACAATGACTACGATTTGTCGGTTGCTGCTATTTCAACATTCAGAGTTGGCCCCTCCTCCCCGGCTCTAGGCGGGTTACGTTGCTCCTCAGCGGGGGAAAGTCAAACCCAGATTCACTCTTGTTTTGGAAAGAGCTATATATTTGCAGCGCTAAATTTGCCTTGATTTGGCGCATTTTTGTTGCTTCCTGTCGGATCCCTGCGTTTGATCTGGCACCAACGTTTTTATAGGAGATTGACGCCCAAAATTGTTCCAAAAAGTGCAAAATGAAAAGAAAAGATAAAATACAGGCAGAAGGCGGGGTATCTGCAGATACAGACACCGCCACACACTTCATAAGTGATGACTAAGGGGGTACTATCTTTGTCTATAAAGATGTTTTTACTCACTGTGCCTTCGATAGTTGCTGAATATTTTCCAAAATGGATAGATATTACATGTATGCAGAATCACATATACAATATGTAAATTAATGTTCAATGCAATTATTGTTGATATACTTGACTTGACATCAGATGTTTGACAAAAACTTCATTAACTAATTTTGTCAGTTTTTAATAAAATCAGCATGGACAACGGAATCTGTTCATATCACTCCACTAATTGCAATAATAAATAATAATATAAAATGATTACCCAGCCTGACCACATTGAATCCCCGAACATACCTGTAGAAAAGCCAAAACAGCGCAAACCCACAGACATGAAGCAGGCAAACCAGCTCCAGCTCCAAACCAACGTGAATACAGTGCACTGAGGTGTGTTGTACAAAGCAACAATTCTAAAGCACGAAAACCAAACCGACTAGGTTCTACGTACCTGTATCAATACCCACAAACGTACATGCTCCTGCATAAACACACTCTGCTCTCCTTGTGTCGTTTGGCACTTCCAAGGCTGTTAGCTGCTATCGCACCTCCCATCTGAATCCATGAATAGGCCATAATCATATTCACACTCATTGACATTCAGTCGTAGCGCGGTCACTGCTGTTACTGTGGTGCAGCAGAGGAGCAGCATAAAGAGATCTCACTCGCGCTCACTCTATCTGTGCCCATTTTATCTCCCCCTTTCCTCCTTTCTCCATATTCTGCTGTATGTATTAATGAAGAAATCGCTTTTTCCTTAATCTTTAAATGTAATTTCCTCCCCGTCGGTCTCCCTTCCTCTGTCTTTATCTCTCTGTTGGGTGCAGGTTTATGAAGTTCATCGGGAGGTGATTTGATAATCCCCTAGGTGTGAGCTCACGGCATCAGAAAAGGCGGGAAAGAAAGGATTAAAGTTATCAATGCAACCAGGAGATTATTTTATTCGTTTGACAAAAGTGGAAGAGCTTTACTTTGCCACAGCCATCATGAGAGCCTTCAGGGAAGAAGGATCCAGCAGCGGTCTTATCATCATCACTCTGTGTGACTCACCGGGTCAGGGGTCGGACCTCAGCTGCTGTATTACAGTTTGTTACAGGATCCATCTTCTAAATTCCTCAAAGCTTTGCATGGTCTTGCCTCTGGGTATTTTTTGACAGTAAGTCCCTCACATCGTCCACACAAACTTATAGAGGTGCTTCAAATCACTAAAATGTTTTTATTCGCTGTCTTTTCCCGCTTTTTCTGACGTGCTCTTCAGCGCACCACTGACCTAATTTCTGGTCTGAGTGTTTTAAAACTACAAGAAAGAACAAAGACTCAGGCTTTCATCAGAAGGTCTGTGACCTTGCGACGTTACTCACATCGTAGCCGTTGTTTCGGATGCCCCTCCTGGATCTTTCTCTCAGCACCAGCAGGTCCATCTCTGTCTCTACTGGGCTTGGGCTGCACAGAGACTGCCGGCTCCAATAGGCGGGCTCCCGTGGGTGGGAGTACCTGATGGACAGGCGTAAGAAAAGGGAGAATTTGGGGTCAGAAAACTTCAACATTTGAGTTTTAGGAAAGTCAAAATCGAAAAATCACGGAAAATCAACAACGGAACTGTTTTGCTGTTGTCCACATACAAAACAACAGTCACGGTTTATTGCTGATAATATTTACCCTCAATTTACTTTAGGCTTTGTGAACTCTTGCGCTCAGTTTTACCTGATTTTATTTGACCAAACTTAAATAGATCAAAATTTTGAAGAAAGGAGCCATGTGACGGGTGATAAAAACAAACAGTGTGCAAAAGCAGGAATTCCTTCAGGCAAAAATGTACTTAAAAACCCTGTAGGTGCTTAATGCTGTGGTGCTTCTGCACTTTGAATCCCAGACATCACTAGTCAATCAAGCTACTCCGAACTGTGACATCCACAGATTTTCTGCAAATAAGTGCTTTTCTTTGCCTGAACGGCAAATCTTAAAGGATTCATGAACTGTGCAAAAGGTCGGATGTGTTGAATCAGTTAGTGAACAAAGAGAAGCAAAACAGACACTGATCTGTATGAACTGTAAAATATTAATGTGCTGACCAAATATCACCCCCAGTTGCTTAGCAACTATGCTCCACAGCTACACATCTACAGTATATGTATAATTCTTGGTGGAAAGCTTGTTAAGCACTGCCTAAAATTATTTAATCATTATTTAAGCTTTTAGTGCATAAATAATGATGAAAAACCTTCATATGCTTTAATAATGAACATTGGACTCCACTTTAACAGGGAAGTCGAATCTTTTAACTGTCAAACATTTCTACATCGGTTGATTCCTTTGATTTGTTGAACCATCTGCGGTGCAGTTATGGCCAATGAAGCCTGTGAGTAAAGGAACATTCCTATGTTTTCGATGTCTACTCCATACCTCTTATGACATCCTGCGAAAGAGGCCCTCTTCTCCTCAGCAGTCATTGGCTCCTTGAGCCCGTTGTCGTGCCGACCGTGCCTGGCGTTGCGGTGACTGTAACCGTGGCTGCCGGTCTCGGACAGAGAGAACTCTCCGTAGCCCTTCCTCCGGGCCTTCTGGCGCAGTTTGTTCCTGTACTGCTCGATGTCCGACTTCTGCTTCAGCCCGCTATGGTTTGCCTGCAAACAATCCATTCCAGTATTGAATTCAAGTAATCATTTTTTTCCATCCGCTTAGAGGGGACCAACAGAGAGCTGCTGCCATTTCTTATGATGAACTGTTCAATTTTTCAAAAGGTTTTTTGCCCTTTCTTCTTTGTGCCCAAAACAAGGAAGGATCCGTCTTTTCCAAGACGGATCAATGTGTTTCAACAAACATTCCCTACAGCTCGATAATCAGAGAACGTGTCACACCCTAAACATGATATTCTTCTGCTAATGCGCACTCAATCAATTGCAGATGAACTGGAAAACTAGAGAGCCCCCCCCCCCCGAGGGGATTTTGTGGTCTTATGTTAATGGCTGGGCGATGATTTATCATCAGCCATTGTATCGCTTTCTCGGCTAGAGGTGGAATAAGGAGAGGGGATGTACTGGACGGCCAGGAAAGTGACAGGGGTGAGAGATTAGAAGGGGAGAGGATTTGTAGCAACAGCTAAATTCAGCATCAGTGCAATGAGGAAATGTTACGATAATACTACAGTACAGGAAGGGCAGCAGACGCCTGAAACTGATGAATGTAACATAAAGCACTTATAGCATGAAGCTGGTGTTCCTCGACAGCCCTGTCAGATGAACTGAAGTACCCCTTCGCAGACATCACCCATCATACTGCAAATGTGTTGGATCCATAGAGTGTATATGAGAAGTGGACAAAGTCCTAGTGACGTCACCCACTGGTTCGGCATTTTGGCCGTCGCCATCTTGGATTTTGACTGTCGCCATCTTGGATTTTGACTGTCGCCATCTTGTTTTTTTGCAATATATATGGCTCTGGTAGCGGGCCTGTCAATCACAAGGTAGCCACACCCTAAAGCATACTCTGGTTTATTGTCTGTTTTACTCTAAATGGACCAAAATGTGTTAAATGAACATGATGCTGTATTGAAGAAGACTTGAAGCTAGTGATTGAGACCATGAACTCATGTTTACAATGTTTACTGAGGGAATAAATCAAGTTGCAAGTTTAACTCACTTCCGCATTGGCGTCGCTTTTCAGAACCGGAGGCTGCCACCTGGTTCAACCACGCAAACTAACTTTTGGTGGCATCTAGCGGCGTGGTTGCAGATTGTAACCCTCTGTCCACTCCTTCCTTTCCAAGACTGCAATAAAGTGAGCTGTCCTTATCATAATAACACGACTATAGGAACAACAGAAGTCAGACGGCTGCTGGTGGTGCCAATGTTTTGCACTCCTCGGCTCACGTTACCGCAGTTTCACAATCTTGTCAAAGAACTACAGTGGCCTTCAGGTAATTGGAAATCAGGAAAGGCCAGTGTTTGGATTGTCCATTTTGAGCTACTGTAGAAAGATTACGGTACAACATGGCGGACTCTGTGAAGATGACCAGCTCTATATGTAGATACAAATGGCTCATTCTAAGCTAATGAAAACACAAAGATTCTTAGTTTCAGGTGATTATAAACTAATGAAAATATAGTTGTGAATATTATATTTTATTTCTGTTCATAGATGCCCCGACATTTTACACACTGGCCCTTCAAGGACCAATGTTGGTGCTGAAATGCGGATAACAGCGAGGCATCCTGTGTGCTGTATGCAGACCAAGCCCAACCTTCACAGTATTTTTCATACAAGGAGTAGCTTTGTGGCTTCCTCTTATTTAGAGTGAGATCTGCTTTGGCAGTGTGAGAGCGAGAGCTGGCGACCCTGATTTAATCAAAACGTTTTATTTTTTAAGTTGTAATTTCTATTGCAACACATTACCAAACAATAAGACTGGAAAACATCTGGCATATTTACGTACGCAACTACAAAATGCTGCTGTGCTGTATCTGTGTGACTCATAATGTTCTAGTCTTTGCTCTGCCTTGTACTGTCAGTGCTGCATTCTCACCTCACAGCTGAGTGCGACGAAGCCTTGAGGGTGTGTGTACATTACGTATATGTCAGTGTGTGTGTGCGTGCGTGCGGACTCACCTCCCCGTTGAGGACTACAGAGTCTTGGCTGTGGGATGAGGCGGTGGGGTAGGAGTAGGTTGGCTGAGCAGTCATGGGTTTAATGGTGATGAGACGCAGAGAGCCAGAATGGTCTTCGTACGGGTCTGGGAGGAAGACAAACCGGTTAGCAAGAGTCAGACAGAGGCATTACATTATTACATGATCACAAATTCAGTCAGTTCCCACATTATTCACACAGCAATTTTGTTCAAAACTCTGATTATAATTGTCAAATTAGGGGGAAAGCTTGCGGGTAGAGGAAAATAGGTATTTTTGATTTGGGGGTGAACTGTGCTGTTAATTGAAGCTACATAAGCTGACTGCAGCCTTGTATTGAACAGACAAATATGAGAGTGGCATCTATTATTTCCCAAAATGTTAATGTTTTATTAGGTACATGTTAACACTCAGGTGTTGTTTCGGGACTAGCAGAAAAACACTACCCAGTAAATGATGAAAGTTAGCAACCAAACAAGAATATAATAGGATTGCTTGTATGTAGCGTAGGGGCTGTGTGTGTGTGTGTGTGTGTGTGTGTGTGTGTGTGTGTGAGACAATTTTATGTATTGGTACCAGGGTGTTCATGCACAATTGTGAAAGTTGGCTTTTCTACTTTCTCCCTGTTGTTTCTATGCTTACGTTGGCCTTGCTATGCACTCCAAAATAATGCCATTAGTCTAAATCTGGCTGAAATGAAAGTATCAGGACAACCATCCAAATTTAGATTGGAGCAAAGCTCTACTAATTGTGTTCAGGTCTCTGCAGTTTCATGTTGTTTTGCTTGATGAGAAAACATCAGCTGTGTGGCGTGTGGTCTGCTTCTTAAAGTATATGAGGCTCTATATGTATTTGTGTGCATGGAATTGCAGGGAGCAGCAGATGGACAGGGTTGTGCTGTACTGGGTGCACTGTGACTCACTGCCTGTCTGACATCATATGGCAGACTGCTTCGTTGTAGGGCTACAACAGTTGTTTAAAGTTGATGTATCCATTTTGTTATATAACTATGTGTAGGACATAAACATACTTTGCATTTACACCTTACAGATTACCAAAAGGCCAGTGTCATTAACATGACGCTCTACAGAGAGAAGGCCAAGGATTGATCTGAGGATGAAGATCAATTGCCAACTCGTGAAATACCTACGCTTGGATAGTGGCGCTGCGCTTCAAAGTATGACGCTCTACGTGCCCCTCTAGCATACGATTTGGACATGTCAAGGACGGCTTGTCAGTTTTCGCTCCTTTCATGCATACAGTCTCATCTCAAAGTAAACTTCCAATGTTGGTTTTTAGGTTTACTTATACAACAAAACTACTTGGTTGGGCTTAGGAAAAGATCGTGGTTTGGGTTAAAATATGTACGATTGTTGCGTAACCGGCGATAGCTAAGTACGTAAATTACATAACAGAACTACAGTAAAATAAGTCAACAGTGACTTGGTTTCACACGGGACATAAACAGCAGGATCCTGGGGGAAAGTCCTGCTTTTGTGTCTTTATATACACCATGAGAGCAACCATGTGTCCATACTCCTTTAATTGCTGATGTTTCTGCAGCATAAACTGACTGACTAGTGAGAATGTGTCTATCATCATTGTCTGCCACCATCAATGCCCAAATGACACCGCACAGATGCTGCTGTAATTTAAAAATCTTAATAAACAGCAGAGTGGATACCACTTTCATGTCCGCACACTCATTATGGACAGAGCCAGTTGACTCTGGTCACCAAGAAAAACATTCCAGAATTTGAACCCCAATTTGAAATCTTACACTTCTGTTTGAGTGTAGATTAAACAAATAAATCAACAAGCTCTAGAGGTGCTGACATGTTTTAAATTTAGAGAGAGAGGTCTTCATGCTAAGCCAAGCTAACCAGCTCCTGGCATACTTAGTGTGCTGACACGAGAGTGGTATTTGTCATCTCACCTTACTTTCTGCAGGAAAGTTAATAAGTTTATTTTCCAAAATGTCGAACTATTTCTTTAACCCGGGTAATAAAATCACAGCAACCACATCAGTCCATTCTAACCTTCAAATCACATAACAGCTGCCAGAAAAGCTGAAAATGTCAGACAAGACTAAAAAATCGAATTAGTTTTAAATCAAAAAAGTAACCTGAGCACCAAAAGCATGCAAGTGAAAATAAGAATTGGAGGCAACATGTCCAATATTCTCCTGTTGTATTACAGAGGTTATTATGAAATGCATTTCAATTATATTTCATCTCCACACAGATCTTGTCTTCTTTTTATCCATACTATATTTGACTGTCCTTCATATGATGGATCTATGCTTCTACTTTACTGGATTTACAGTTGTATTAATCTGTCATTTTCTTAAACAGCACTCCGGTCTGCCTTTATCCTGTCTCTCTTTTCATTTTTTCTAAAATCAGTTCAGTCCATCTCCGGTTCTCTGTGAACAGTAGTGAGAAATTGAAATAATTATTCATCCTCCCCTCCGGGTATCCGTTCGTTTGCTTGCGTAAACACTATAAATCACACAAATTACTGTGATCTTTGGCTTGCTGATGCAAAAGAGATTGAAAAAAAATCACAGCGTCCTAGAATGTCATTGAGCATAAGCGATGTTGCAGCATTATCAGTGATCAGAGCGATGCATATGCAACCAATTGTGAGTCTGCACCGCTGGGAAAAGATCTGCTTGGTAATCTGTTGAACAAGTCATGTCAAAGATGCACTACATTTACTGCCACCACTGATAACTGCTGCTGCAGATACAAGTGTGTGTATCTAATAGTCCTGTTGTATAGCTGTATAGATGAATACTACTCCAATGTATGCATGTTAACAGTAATGCATCGTGCGGACATATAGAATTGCATTTTAAAATGTGGAGTTATCTATTTCTTCTAATGGTTCTGCCACGGCAATGGCAACTTCCTTTCTTTAAAACATACTGTAAATGTGATGCACACTGGGAACATAAGTAGTAAGTAAGAACATAAGTACTTACCATATAGTAGCTAACAAGTGCAACTTCATTGTAATTGTTAGCTAAAAAGAAATCTAAACTTTACAGAAGGGAAAAGGATGGATGGGTCAAACAAACATGACCTTCACCCGGGAGGCCGCTGTTCATGTGCCGTGTGAAACCAAAAGTCAACACGTTGACTTATTTTAACTTAACTACGTTAGTACGAAACAGCATCACTGATGGGTGTGGCACACTCTCCATTCAGTAGTGTGCTCTGTTGCACCCTACCGAGTACTTCATTCAGTAGTAGTGTCAGTCGTGCCTGCTGCGTTTTTATCCGTTTTGTGTTGACGTTGGTTGAAATGGAAAATGTGTTGTCAGCGTGCATCTCTGACTTGATGGAGATAATTGCTAATATACCCACAACCCCAATAATAACGATGGGGGGAAATTACAGTGCTAATTTGTTTTTAATAGCTACACAGTGCATCAACGTCTTTCCACCCAGGATGAGGATCCCTCTGAGTGTCACAGGTTTAACGATGAGTCATTTTTCTGAGGCACAAACCGTATGCTGTGGGTTGTATGGATTTGAATAACACCTAATCTGGCAGTGTGCTGTCACAACTCTCTGACAACTCCCCCACTTTCCTGACTTTCCTCTGTGATTCTACTCAAAAGTAACTTAAGGCACATGGCACTGCCAACCGCTGGCTTTTATCTCTTACTGCATTTTCAGCTTTTGTATCCTGGAAGGAAGTAAGCCAAATAAAAAAACTGAAATACTTCAATACAAACAACTGGCATGTCTGTTTTGATTCAGTTAAGGCCGATGACCGCAATGTGTGTGTGAGTAAAACGACGTGATGAGTATACAATGATGCAGCGGCAGGCTCAGTCACTGCATGTGTGAGTGTGTTCACTCATGTGCGCTTCATTAGCTCATAGAAATTTTTCTTTGGGTGAAATATTACAGTATGAGAATGTGGGGGTGGGGGGGGATTGACTTTGTGGTGGGTGCAAAAGTAAAGGAGAGACAGAATTCATCTCTCGCTATCCATCTATCAGCGTGTGGGTCTGTCTATCCATCTAAATATTCATCCGTCACATATTCCTTTCCCTCTTTATACTTCGTCCCTCCCTCACTGTTTCCCTGTATCTTTCTGTCTATCTCTTAACCCCCCCCCCCCCCCCCTCCATATTTCCTCTCCGACTCCATCTTCCTCCTCACCGTTGGTGCTCCTCTTGTGGAGCTCCTCCTTGCCGTTCTTGCTGCTGCTGCCGGTCGCCGTCCTTCGGGCCGAGGAGCTCTTGCTCGTGTTCAGCTTCCCGGAGCCGCTACTTGACACCGAGCCCTCCTCCTCGCTTGGCAACCGCCTGCAGTATCCATGGCAACAGAGAGAGGCCAGGGAGGAAGGAGAAGGGAAGGCTCGTGAATCTCTTGTGTGTACACAAGCAGTGTATCATCTCACAGTTAATGCTGGCAACACACTGTTAACTTTAAAAATAATTTAAAAAATAAGATCATGGGGGTGCATATGTGTAATGGATAAAAACACATACAAATAATAGAAACTGTACCCCAAAACTACTATCATTCCAAAACATGAAAACCAGCTAGAATGTGAAATTCAAAGTAATGTAATTTAAATCCAAAATCAACAGCTTCAGCAAGACTGTATTGCCTGTGTTCCTGTTGTTGTTTTGTGAATCCTAGTTATTCTTTGCATGCCTGAGCTTGGTCTTTACGGTAATTATGAAAATAGAAATAGGGAATTCTGTAGTATCACTGGTTTATAAAACCTTACTGCTGACAACGGTTAACCTTCTGGCAAGCCAGTTAAGATATTTATAGTACGCATTTACTGTAAATGGACATTGGCAAGCTTGTTAGCTCATTTGTTAGCCTGTACATCCAAAGCCAAATCTTGGAATTGGTGGAAAAACGAATTAGATACTAATAAGCCAACTACCTATCACCTTCTGACTCTAGTCAGGGGCCCAAGGACCAGGCCACCCCTTTTCCCCCCTCTTGTCCCGCCCCTGGTTGCCAGACAACTGAACAATCTCATCAACGGTGCTGCGATTGTGGCTCATAAATGCTAACATTACCTGCTAACTGGGCCAACCATACGACTCCTGTATTGTTGTACTGTACTGAAGTGCGTTGTAATATTTTGTAATGAGGTAATAATGTTTTTTTATCGATAAGATCCCATCAAAGAAGCATGCTGTATGAAAGCACAGAAAATGTAGGGACATTCAAGGCAAACTGAAAGGACAAGTAGAGCAGCAACAATCCTGATTTTGTCGGGCAGGTTCTTCAACAGCCAAGGGCCTTGATGGAAACAGCTCAGTATGCATGTATGTCACACACAGACACACACACACACACACACACACACACACACACACACACACACACA